TAATCAACATCCCTAAGCTCAATACGTAGACTGGAGAAGAATAATCGACATCCCAAAACAAATGAGCCCATCCCTCTGAAAATGGAACCCACGACATGTTCCTCCACAAGTTCAGTCACAACCTTCATTTTACCAAAATCTTGCTCCGCTTACAATGATAAACCTAGGTCTTTTACATATAAGAATTTGAGGAAATTTAGGTATAAAATTGAAATAAATTTCTCTCCGAAATCCGAATTTGACATGTGCAAAAGGCGACAATAAATTTGTAGTGTTTATAGTACGACTAACCAAATAGATGAAGGGACCCGGCGGTTGGTGGTGGAAGACGGTGAAACGTCGAGATATGAGAGACCTTTACCTTCTTCTTCTGCCGATGGATGACATCGAGACGAGAGTGAGATTGTTGAGAGAAGTAATTAATACAGTAATATAATTTTGATTTAGTTTGAAGGGTATTAATCAAAGATGATATTTTTTTAGGACAGTCAACCTAATTTTCCCAATTACAAATTAATTAAAGATCCAATTGGACCACAATTTGGCCCAATTCTTCAATTTTCTATTTGTTATGTACAGCCTAAATTTGCATTGCTGCAAGCATCTAATCTTTGCCCAAATTAACTAAGCCTACTATGCAGAGATCCACGTCTTCAGTCCAATTTCTCAAGAAACCTAATTGCAATGGCCCAAAACAGTTGCCATCAGCTCTTAAGTAAAAATCGACCCAAATAGTAATATCTCGATAGATGGTTTCAACCTACATTTTTAGAGACCCCAAACTTGGCCAAAAAAGCGTGTTACCTGGTCCAAAACTGGTACACCATCACCTTGCCATCAACGATGAGAGATGAGAATCGATTAAAAACCCAAAAAACTGTAAGGTCATGACATCGTGGGCCCCATCATCTCCATCTCTCATGGGAGTGATGGCATTGATACCCACATCAACCTAGCGGTGGCAAAAAAGCTCGGAGGCTCGGACGGCCTGGGCTCGGCTCGGAAAAAGCCCG